ATAAAAGAAAACTTGTTTCTATAGAGTTTATCACTGTACAACTATAGTATGAATAGTAACTGATTCTGAACATGGCCTCCTGAAGGGGCAAAAAGCATGATTCTCATGTAAACGCACATTTAGTCAGATATCCTCAGTGGTCTTGGGCAGAATAGAAGCGGGCAAAGCCCTGTTGCAGGTGGGGCCATAAAAAAGGGACAGTCCATAGACTCACACTAGATGCTTTCCTGTCTCTCATACTTTCCCTTCTTTTCATGAATGAAAATAACCAAATTGGTCAGATTTAGGCCAAATATGTGATTGTTCTAAAGAAGTATTAGAGAAGTGTGGCATTTACAGCTGGAATAGAAGACAGTCTCTTCCCTTGCGGAACTTTGAAAGCCAATTAAGGAGGCAAAATAGAGCTGTTTGAAGCCTTCATACAACAATATATATGCAAGTGCAAATCAGTCATTCAGAAGGAATTTAAGTGATGCTGGTGACACCACAGAGAAGTGATCTCCCCCGGACTATTCAGAGGTTCTGAAGTGGTAAAAGGTCAATCAGATTTTAAAGAGATAAATACAAATTGACCAACCAGGGAGGAAGAAAAGGTTTTCTTAATATATCCTTTAAAGTAACCCTTTTGCTTAAATGGGTACATTATTGACAGGGATATTATATATCTAGTAAATACTAGATGCGTTTTATAAATATTAATAATACTAATCTTTGAAATGAACTGCCTACCCTTCTGTTCCAAGTGTAGATGTATTGCAGCAAGCTTTAGTAAAAAGGCTTTTTAAATGGAAAATTACTGGCATGATATATAAAAATATGAATTAATGAGCCCAAATAAATCATCCTACTTAATCTTTTTTTAGATATCTAATATTCATGAGTTTCTTTTATTTGGGGATTAATGTTTATTTCTTTACCATTTAAAATATATAGAGACTGTTTCAGACTCTAAATTCTGTGTCTCTAATGATAGAAAAAATTATTACTGAATTGTATGAAAATATTTTCCTCCTGAAATAAGAGCTCGTTTTGAGTTTCAGGACTTAGATTTTAAGAATTAAAAGTACTAGTTATTGAAATGGTTTTTATTCCACTTTAACAGTTTGCATTGTTTTGGGTCTCAGAATAGGATATGGATTTTAAGTTCTTTGAAGCCAGAGACCAAGTCTTACTTGTATTTTGCAAGTCATTTAGTACAGGTTACACTGTTGTTAACTAAATATTGGCTTTAATTCTGATTGTTTTTAGCCTTTATCAGATCATTGATTTGGATCGTCTTTTAGCCTTTAGAAAGGAAACCAGATGTGTAAATATGCTGTAATAAACTTAAAAAGTCACATAAAATAACTAAGAACTGTTTTCATCTATGATACTTTTCTTTCGTTAGAAGAATTTGTGTGGAACATTCTAGGGAAAGGCCTTGGTGTATCAGTCTATTGAATATGTTCAGCAGAGCAGAGAAACCTCCCATTCTATTGTGCTAGGGTCAGAAGTCATTTTTTTTCTGTTTATCAGAGGGAGGAAAAGTAAGATAATTTGTTCATCACTAAAGATTTTTGGAATACTTCAGAAATATATTGTTCTGCTAACTCACTGAAATTCACTTAGCCCCGGGAACCATTATTAGATAATATTTGGGGGCTCTCAACACCAGCACAGATCAGTTTTCAGGACTCCACAGGCCCTGGAAGGTGGGTGTCCACTGAGGACCCTGTGGAGATGGTCTGGGTCCAGGCCTGTTCTGCGTCCATTATGCTGTTCCTTAACTGACCTTCAGAAGTAGCTTTGGATTCTTTAAATTTGAACAATATCTATGTGTTCCTTAAATCATTCATATAGAGCATATTTATGTTTGCTAATGGAGGATTTAAGTAGGACATTAAGGATAAGTGGCAGGGTAGGATTCTTACTGTGGAGCTCATCATTTGGCTTCTAACTCATGGAGTTACTGTGAGGATTCAGTGAAATAATGAGAAATGCCTGACTCTGGAATATGTGCTTGACAGATGTTTGTGCCTGTGCCTGCCTTTCACTGGAAATGTTTTTGCTTAACATTTTTATAAAATATATTGATAGACTTTATCAGTATGGATAATGTGTACGTTTAACTTGAACATTTTTTTTTTTAAAGACTAGGGATTCCTAGCAAAATAGTCCTAGTAATTTTAAAATAGAATGAGAAAATACATCTTTATTTGAGAGATAAAGTGGAAGCTTGTTTTCTATGCTGTACAAACTTACCACTTTTTTCTTTTTTGCCTTTGGAAAGTTTCACATTAACAGCATGAGAACTTAAAAATACAGTGGATGTTGAAAGAGCTTAACTAAATATTTTAAATTGGTGGTATTGGAAAAGGATTCTGTAAAAATCCAATTAAACTTTTGAAAGCTCTATCCTGTTGAAATAACTTAAAGGAAGTCAGTTTGGTTTCCCAGAAGTACTGTGCATAGTGTTTCTGGCTGAGGAATAAAGGCATGAATCGGCTATTGGGCCAGAAATTGGGTACCGGCTTCCTCTACAGTGTTTTACTTGAGCAGTGTTGACACTTGAACAAATCCCATAGAAACTGCCCCAAGTGGGGAACAGTTGTCCTTGCTTTTATAGTAAAGACTTGATCCTCATAACTAATGTCCCAGACACTGCTAGTATTCTTGGCTGAACAACCTATATAGGGATGTGCGTAAATTGGGAGCAAAGCCCCAAATGTTTTAGGAAGTTTAATAGCTACCGTTTTCCAATCAATCAGTAAAGTAAACTTTAAAAAATATTAGTGCAGTTTATTGTTTTATAGCCAATGAAAATAGTGAACAAAAAGAGTCTAGTGTCCCTTGTTTCTTAAAATCTGGAAATTGAGTTTTCTTGCTATTAAATAAGTTCAAAAGACTAGAATGGTTTTTAAAATTGGGGCACTTCAGGAATTTTTTTTCCTTGCCTCAGACATCAGCAATAATTTTTCATTAAATGACAGTAAAGTATTTAAACAACATGTTTGTTTTTGTGAATTTATTTTTCACGAGGAACAAAAACACACATGTGCAAAAAGTTAATTTTTTTCTATTTGATTTACATCTTCAAGAGTGATAGCTACCTTTACTGCTAGTGTTAAGACATATTTATATATTAAACAGATTAAATGAATAAAAGTGAAAGAAGGTGTTTTATTTCTTTGGTTACTTAAAAGGTTTGAGTGTATTAGCTTAAAATCTTCGAATTTACTATGAGAAGAAAAAAACCATTCAGGAATTGTGATGTCTGTTTTACAAACAGAGTGGTAGGAACCAAAGAGGGAATTTAAAAAATAAAAATAATTGTGTCTTGGTTCAGAGCCAGAGGAAAGGTGGCTCAGGATGCACACCATAAGGAGTTGAAAGAGAAGTCTCATGGGATATTAATTGACAATATAGCAAAACTATATTAAGCACAAGCTGTAGAAATCTTAGTTGACGTAGGCAGTGTCTTAAAATTTGGACACAGTTGAGTAATCTTACAACTTCCTGAATATGACACTGCTAAATCAGGCAGAAAGGTGGTCGAGTTTCATGGAGACCAGTGTTCAAGGCAACTCTGAGGTTCTTCTCTTTTAGAAGAAGACACTTTAAAAGGAATTTCAGAGTTTGACTATTCCGAGTTTTAAAAGGTATCCATTTGAAACTCAGCCGTAAGCAAACAGTACTTTAATACGCAAGTTTATCTCACAAACTCTCATCTTAAACTAACATTCATAGAAAATTATAACAATGAAGCATACATATAGGAACTACTAGTTAATGCTCAGTGAGAGATTCTTAGGTTTTGGGATTTATTTAGGGGACTACATGATCTCAAATGGAGTTAATTAATTCTAAAACTGGGGGGTTAAGACTGCATTATAAATATTAAGTAGTCTTAAGAGATTAGCAAACTTGAGATAACATTAGGAGTAATGCAAATTGCAGTGGGGCAGCAGCTCAGTTATCAGTTCACTATTAGAGTGAAGAAAGCTGTGAAAAAATAGGTAGATTGAATGATTGGGGACTTTTAAAGTATATGTTACACATGTAAGCTCCATGAGGCCAGGCACTTTTGTCTCGCTGACTGTTGTATTACAAACCTTCAGTGCCCAGCATATAGTAGAAACTTGGCAAATCATTTATAAAAATGGGCAGTGCTTTACAAAGAAAAAAAGAATGCACGAATCAGCAAATGTTAGAATTATTATGGTTTCATGACTCTTTACCAAAGTGAAATTTATCTGTATGAAATGTTGTGATCTGGTTGAGGAATTTATTAAATATCCAAATGCATAAAGCTTTAACACCATTGAACTTGAAATTTTCTTGCCTTTGTTCTGCTTCCATCTGAAAAATGGAAGGGTGTGAATGTGTGTGTGCTAGTGTGAATTTCAAAGAGCAAGTGCCCTGATACTCCGTTTTGGAGGCTGTGTGTTAAGGGAACTGCTGGATGTGCTGTAAGTTTCAGTCTGGCTAACTTGGAAACGTCTAGGACCAGTTTGAAGTAGAGGATTGCAGTTGTGGGACCTTAAATTCGTTGTATTGGTGATTGAGAAGCTCCCTCTTATGTACCTCCCTTAATTTTTTCCTCTCTTGGCTATCTTATAGCCATTAGTCCTACACTCGTTTAATTTTGGTTTCTTGGTATAGTCATTGTATTCACACAGTAATGATAAAGCCACCCAACCTATTTCGCCATTTTATGGTTTTTATATACAGGAGCACTGATTCAACTTGCACTTTTCAAGTTGCAGTTTTTTCATTCTTCAGTGGTACACAGAATATTTTTTCTTTGTATAATTTTCTTTGTATAATAAAGGTGAATGAAGTAGCATTCTATGAGACGGTGACTGTTTACTAGATGACTTTGAGGGAAATGGGTCCATAACAAAATGCATGATCTTTCCTTCTCTTGGACCATGCTTATTTTTTAAATTTCTTTTCAGGCAGTAAGTATCTGCCACGTTTGTCTTGCGAGCCTCATCTCTTCTCCTCGTCTGTTGTCACAGGTGAGAAGCCGTACAAATGCACCTGGGAAGGCTGCGACTGGAGGTTCGCCCGCTCGGACGAGCTGACGCGCCACTACAGGAAGCACACCGGGGCCAAGCCGTTCCAGTGCGGGGTGTGCAACCGCAGCTTCTCCCGCTCCGACCACCTGGCCCTGCACATGAAGAGGCACCAGAACTGAGAGCCGCTGCCACGGGCCTGCCGTGCCTGTGCCGCTCACATTGACCGTCTGCAGTTCACTTGGCAAAGTTTTAAACTACAAACTTAACT